CAAATAATAAATATCAATTGAATAAAACATCATTCAACGATCTTTTTTAATAAAAAATTGATGAAATGACGCAAGATTATAATCGGATTTTAAAAGATAAGTATACTATATACTATTCCAATGAGGCAATAACTCGGTTAAAAAATGGGACAGGTCAACTCTTTTATTTCCAAAAAGGCGACCAATTAAGAAAATCAACAATTTGCTTATAGACATTTACTTACTGTAATTTTATTGTTGAAAAGCAAGAATCAAAACTATTTTATTGATGAAAAATTTAATTCATAAGCCAAATTATGCGTCAAATTTTCGAGGAAACACCATGAAACATTTTTAAAGGCCTTTCTCTCTAAAAACACGACAATGAAATCTTCTCTTGCGCGCAAGCTCCTGTTCTTGATTTTAACTATAGCTTGTAAGATCCAGACACAAGTGGAGTCCTTGGAGTTCGATTTCCCTGAGTTTAAAGAAAGCAATGATTCGGACTTGATCCGAGACAACTCATACATTGTCCTTGGAGCGATTCAAGTGACTCCTGATGTTCGAGGAGGCTCTCTCACGAACCACGCAGGTCGTGCGCTCTACAAGAAGCCTTTCAAGCTATGGAACAAAGACAAGAAAGCTACTTTCAACACTACTTTCGTTATCAACATCTCGAACCAAACCGATCCTGGAGGCGAAGGCTTAGCATTTGTTCTCACACCAGAGAAGACCGCTCCTCAGAACAGCTCGGGTATGTGGCTCGGTCTGGTCAACGAAAGGACAAACAAGACTCTCGAGTCGAGGATTGTTGCGGTTGAGTTCGACACAAGAAAGAGCTATCCTGGTGATCTTGATGGAAACCATGTAGGACTAAAATGTGAACAACATCAATTCAGTTGTTCAAGAATCATTGAGTAGTCGTGGGATCACGATCATTTCCGGTGTTAGCTTTACCGGACATGTGCGGTATGATGGTAAGAATCTATCGGTTTATGTCTCTAGAAACTTTGGAGGTATTTCAACAGAGAAATTTAGTGTTTTCTAGGGAGATAGATCTTTCGGCCTATCTTCCGGAGACAGTTTACGTTGGATTCACGGCCTCGACAAGCGATTTCACGGAGCTGAATTGCGTCAAATCATGGAGCTTTGAAGGTTTAGAGATCGATGGAGATGGAAAAATGTTATGGCTCTGGATCTTTATCCCTATTGTGTGTGTTGTTGTAGTAGGAGGTTTCTTTGGGGCATTGTACTTGAGATCTAAGTCAAAGGCCGGTGAAACAAACCCCGATATAGAAGCCGAGCTAGATAATTGCGCTGTAAATCCGCAGAAGTTCAAGCTGAGAGAGCTGAAGAGAGCAACGGGAAACTTCAACCAGGATAACAAACTCGGACAAGGCGGGTTTGGGATGGTGTTTAAGGGGAAATGGGAGGGTAGAGACATAGCTGTGAAACGAGTCTCCGAGAATCGCATCAAGGGAAGCAAGAGTTCATATCCGAGATCACGACGATTGGTAATCTGAATCATAGGAACTTGGTGAAGTTATTGGGATGGTGTTATGAGAGAAAGGAGTTTCTTTTGGTTTATGAGTATATGCCTAACGGAAGTCTAGACAGGTCCATTTTCTTGGGGGCTAAGTCCAGATCAAACCTAACGTGGGAGATAAGGAAGAACATTATAAGAGGGCTATCTCAAGCTTTGGAGTATCTTCACAACGGATGCGAGAAGAGGATACTTCACAGAGATATCAAAGCGAGCAACGTAATGTTGGACTCAGATTTCAATGCTAAGCTTGGCGATTTCGGGCTTGCGAGGATGATTCAACAAAGCGAAATGACGCACCAACAAAGGAGATCGCTCGAACACCGGGATATATGGCTCCAGAGACTTTCCTCAATGAGAGAGCCACGGTTGAGACGGATGTGTATTCGTTCGGAGTTCTAATGCTCGAAGTAGTGTAGGGGAAGAAACCGAGTTATGTCTTGGTCAAGGAGAGCCAGAGCAATTACAACAATAGCATTGTGAATTGGCTATGGGAGCTATACAGAAATGGAACCATCATGGAAGCAGCCGATCCGAGAATGGGAAGTTTGTTCGCTGAAGAAGAGATGAGAAGTGTTTTGCTATTAGGACTCGCTTGTTGCCACCCGAATCCAAACCAAAGACCGTCCATGAAAACGGTTTTAAAGGTCTTGACGGGTGAGTCTAGCCCACCTGATGTGCCTACAGAGAGACCGGCTTTCGTATGGCCAGCGATGCCTACATCGTTTAGTGACATTGACTACTCTCTTACAGGGAGTCAGATCAACTCACTCACCGAGCTAACTGGACGGTGATATAAATTTATGTGTGTTCTTCAAGAGAATGCAAAATGAAACATTATGATATTTGAATTATTATTCGCATACAAATGATGATTTACCTACACAATTTTGTATCTAAAATCGACGTGTTGGTACAAAATCGTTTTAAGCATTATGATGTTTCGTTTTAAGCATATCTCTGAGAGTAAAAGTAAATGTAAAAACCTATGAGAAGAAGCTACTGAACTTGGAAGGTCCAACAGTATGAGAAAAACCTTTAATGGACAATTCAGGAACAGTTGCTTTCTCCACCATAAGAAGCTCGTTGTCTATGAATATCACAACCACTGTTATATCATCATGAAAGAATCTCCTCACTCCTCTCTCCACTTTCTTCAAATCATCGTACCTCATCTCTCTTTTCTTTGCGGCTATGGTCATAGCTCTTCTTACCAGTCTTCTCGCTATTCCCTGTGTGATTTCGGTATATCTACATCAGTGAGATCCCAAACAGAAAGCAAAAAAAGACTGGAAAATTTAACATTATGAATCTTAAGTAAGGCACGTACAGGACGAGGATGTTTATTCACTATATCTACAGCTTGCTGGTTTGACATGTGTTCCCAGAGTCCATCTGATGCAAATATCACAAATTTGTCGTTTGTTTGTAAGACTCTTGTGTAGACACAGGGTTCTGCTGATAAAACTGGTCTTTGAAGCCGTTCAGGGATATGGAACCGTGGAAATGAAGGATCGAGGGAGAACTCTGGTCGCTTCAAGTACGCATCCCCGATTGATCTAGACACCTGCACAAATGAAACATAAGATCCATCTTTTTATAGTTTGATAAGCCAAGACAAGGTAGGTATACTTGAGGATGTTAAGGTGCTCAGAGTTTAAGCTAGCCTAGGACTGAATGTAGCAGATTGTAGCTGTGGTGAGTTGGTTAGTAAACAACTAGTGAGGGCTAGATTTGGTTGGGGCATTTGGTTTGAGAGTAGAGAGCTTCTCATTGACTAACTCTCTCTCTGGTTTGCTCAATCAGAATACGAATAGTAGTCATGGGCTATTGATATGTGATTTGAGAGGTGAATAAAAGAAGAAGCCTAGCAAACCTGAATGATGCCTTTGATGCGCCACACACCATGTTTGAGGACAACGATATGCGAATCATCAGGATGCAACGACCTAAGCTCTTGTCTAACTTCTTCCAAAGCAGCATTATGATCACTTGTCAATTGCTCAGCTACAATCTTGTTTGACCTACTATTATTATTACCCGTGGAACCAAGCACAGCACGGGAATCACCAACGTTAGCGATAAGCAAAGTCCCTTTCCATATAACTCCGACAAGACAGCAAGATCCAACGGCTGCAATCAACGGTTTTAAGCTGCAAGTCCTTCGCACAAGCGTGAGAAACCCTTCCTCAGTTGCAGAATATGCAGCTCTTAGACTCTCCTCTGAAATAGCACCCTTCTCTCTCGAAACTCCTAAAAGAACAAAAAGCTTAATCAAGAAAGCAAGCCAATGAAACCATTCTAATTCCTAAAATTGCAGACACAAAGCTTCAAACAAAGTTGCAACAAGAAACGCAAACAAAGTCCAAGATTCAATTCACTGTTCATCAGATGCATAATCATCGGCTCTACACAGAATTTTCCAATCATCAAAAAGCAAATCGAACACACAGATTCAGTTCCAAAGAGGACTTTGTTTGACTTGAAGCAAATGAGAATTAGACTAACTCATCAAATGGGCAAAGAGATGATCAGAGATGTATCTAGAAGCTTCAGGACCACCATGACCATCGTAAACTCCGACGAAGACTGCTCCGTTACCAGTCTCGACTTGACTATGATCTTCAATAACCTCATTAGCTTGCACAACGGACATAGAGAAATCACCGAACGAATGTCTCTCGAGTTCTCTAGACCAAAGAAGCGAGTCACCGGAAGTATCACCGTCGATTTCGTCGTTGTTATCATCATCGTTATTATCCCTGTTCATACGACCGTATCGCCGCATCGGTCGTAAACAAAATAGCGCCATTCTCGCTAACCAGGAGAACATCCCTCATTTGCCTCCCTCCCCGGAGAACACTTAGGTCGCCGGAGAGTCGCCGGAGATCGAGGAAAAGAGGGGATTCTCGTGATTTTTGTTGGTGGTTGCGAAATCGGAAAGGTGAAATTTATGTGGTGGATCGAAAGCTGAAAACAGTTCGAGGAACGAATCGTCAAGCTTTGAAACAAAAAGCAAAAGTTTTTTTTTTTAATTTTCAAAGAAACAAAAATTGAGAGATTTTGGAGAAAAAAAGGAGAGACTTTGTTTGGGTCTAGAGAGAGAGAAGAGTGAGCAGTGGTTGGAGCAAAGTGTGAAAAATATGAAATGTTTAAATTAAAGTTGAGTCTACAAATTAAA